CACCCTCAATAGGGGCTCATCAGTCACATCATGATCCCCTCTGTCTGGCTCTCCAGCTTCTTAGAATCTTGCACAACTGCACTTGCACCTGCTGGTTATTCAGACCAACCTGAGGTTTCAAATCCTCGGGGACCATGTGGCTTTCTGCATAGCGGCAGTCCGTTACGCAGTGAAGTGGGCCACCTGGGCTGGGCCGGTCTTCCTAGTGTTTGAACCAAGATGGAACTAGGTTCACACATCACGCTGTATCTCATCTCATCTAAAACAGTTTCGCTCGCTTAAAAAATAGCCGTCGTTTATGGAAGAAACCAGATCATTTGTCGTATAGTTTTTTCCTGTAGCCTGGATCATAATCATCTAGTGTCATTTTACACGTTCCTCTGTCCCTGGTATTTCTTGGAAACTGTTAGTACTTTTATCTAAAACTTCATTAGCTACGACTTCCTTCTTTTTGTCAGGAATAGTAGTGCTGTATATTTCTTTTTACAGCATATCAGGAAGTAATTTCTCTTTTTTATTTCGATGATATTAAGATTGGCCAGGGAGCTCAAGTATCTTAGCACAGTCTACCCATCAGTGGAGTTTGTGCACCTAATGGTGTCCGCAACCATGCAGACTTATCTAAAGCAGTATTTCACTGGGGACTGCAAAGTCATGATTGCATCGTTCTTTCCTTCTTTTGCACTTGTTAGCTTTCATGAAGAACTTTTCCTTAGCATCTCTTGGGCAAATCTCAATAACAGTTTTGTAAGGAAAATAGAACAAATGCTTAATTCTTTTTTTTTTTCTTACCAATTTTCAGACTAATTATTTTTATTTTTATTTTTTTTTTTTAGGTTTTTGCCATAGGGTGCATGCACTCGCTGGACAGAGACAGACACAGACAGACAGAGGCAAAGTGAGAAATTGACCCCCCTCCTCCCAGGAGGATGGCCACATCATAATTCCTTCTTCTCCATTGCCCTCTGAGATTTGGAGCACACACACTCATGCGCCCAGCATGATTTTCAAACCGCCGAGTCTGGGACTCAAAAGGTGGTTGGCTATGTGGGAATCCAGCACCTTAACTACTGTACCGCTTGCTAGCCTCTAATGTTTTTTTTTTTTTTTTACATATTTGAAGTGTTTCAATCCCTTTTACTCATTACTTTTTGACCAGTAGGAGCCTCTTCCAAGTTGCCTCCTGAGTATTGTTTTATATAATAATTTTCAAGATAATTGACATGCACCAGTTATTTGAACACATAAATAACTCTGTGAGGGTAAATATTGTTGCCCAGTTTTCCAGATGAGAAGTCTAGATCCGGTGACTTGCACCGGGACTTGATGTCTGTTGTTCTTTCCATTATATCGAATGATGGTTGGGCACATCAGAGTGTTAAAGGTGATTGGATTCTTTGCCTGTTTTTCTTTTTTCTGGTTTTGAGATTAAACAGCAGCCGTCTTGAACCAGTGGGAATATGATATTAAGCAATATCCACTTCAGAAGATGACTCGTGGCAGATACTGTTGAGAATAATGTTACACTGATGATACTGTAACTTGGTAAATAGCCTCGCCCAACTTTGTTTGTGAAGCATTTCCATTTTGATTACTCTGTGTGGGATCCACTGCTCAGATGTGTGTCATTTTATAGTCTGCCCATGTCTAGGGAGCTGGCATTACACGCTGCCTAGTGTTTTTAATTCAGAAGTTCTTCTAAAAGAAACCTCAGCCTCTTATATTCCAACCCTCGTTTTAATAGCATAAGCTATTTCCTTCTTATATAGCTTTGTGGGCATAGTAATAAAATAAATACCACAAAATCACTGATGAGATGAAAATTGAGCTCCCTGCTTCTGTGCAGCCATGTAGGTAAAACAGTAATTGGCTCTGATAATAACTTTTGCTCTCACAAACCAGAGTCTAAATGAGAGTCACATTTGATATATCTGCTTGTAATTACTATCAAAGGGAGAGAACACAAAGTTTAGATTGTTTAGTGACTCAAGATAGATGAAATAAATTGCTGTCTTTTCTTGACCAATTTAAGAAAATTTCTGAAATTATTTCTGATATTTATCTTACTCTTGGTAAAAAATGATCATCTTCCAGAGCATGCTTTGCTACTTAATAGAATGATTAATTTTGTGTTTGTCTTTTAAAGCTATAATTGATTTACTTAAAAAAAAGTTATTACTAGGTCTGATGATGCAGTTTATTCTTGTAAGTATTTTTCCATGCGTCTCTATCCATGGTTACTACGATAAATTTAAGTTTTGAATGTGTTTGGCAGTCATTTTTAGTAAAAGCATTTGATATGGTAATGTTTGAATGTAGATGCTTCTAATGTGTTTTTAAAAGGGAAATTAAATCTCCTGTGCTACATTTTATTATGTTGATGTACACATGCATGATGTCAGAACAGTAAATATTAGAGTACTAATCATTTTAAAAGTTCTTTCTCATTGCTTTGGAAGCTTACAATAAAGAATTTATATGGGCCCAGCAGGTGATGTGGTGGTTCAAGTGCTAGACTCTCACATGGCCGATTGAGTTCAAGTCCCAGACCTGGAGGCTTGAAAAATCACACTGGGTACATGTGTGTGCATGACCATAATCCCAGGAGAAGGGATTGCAGTGTGGCCACCCTTCCCCCCAGGGATTCTTTCTTTCTTTCTTTTTTTTTTTTTTTTTGAGAGGTTTTTGCTATAGGGCGCGTGCGCTCACGAGACAGAGAGAGAGACATGGAGGCAGAAAGCGAGAAGTCACCCCCCAGGGGGGATGGTCATGCTGCAATCCCTTCTCCTCCATTCTCCTCTCGGGATCTTGGGCAGGCACGCACGCCCACGCGCCCAGCGTGAGTTTTAAGCCACCGGTCCAGGATGCGAACCATGGTCGACTATGTGGGAGTCCAGCGACATAGCCATTATGCTAACTGCTGGTTCCCCAGGGGTTATTTCTCACATTCCTTCTCTTTCTCCTGTCTCTCTCTGTCAAACACACATGACCTTTGGCAAAACTATAAACAAAATTTGATATTACTATCTATCCTTTCTGTTGGATTTCTTTTTGCATACTGTTTTTTTTTTTTCTCCCAGAAGTATTTGTGTCTGGTGCCACAGAAACCTGAACATAGAAAGACAACCATTGGGTTTAAGGCTAGTTTTAGTAATAGTTCTGTGTTGGTCATTTCCTCTCTACACCAGTCCTGTCACAACGCAAAGTGGATAGAGCATAATAAAACTAAGAAAACTGCTATGGTCCACTGAGCCGATGATCTCGGAGTTACAAAGTTCTAACAAAGCTGAGACATGATAGATGAAGCTATCACCATCAATGGTATCCAGAAGACACGCTTGAAAATCACCCTAATTACAGAAACCACATCCAGTCGGTATAATACATATTAGCAATTTCCTGATCCTTGGCAGAATGGACATTATCCTGAAAGTTTAATTAAGAAGGAAAAAATTAGGTTCAGGTATTCATTTTAATAAAAGAGGTTCTTGGCTCCCATGCAGAAACCCCAGAGTAGAGCTGTGTGTGGGTCACCCACAAATAATTAGGGACCACAGTATTTTGTCACCACATGCACCTCAACGAGAAGGGAGTAGACGTGTCTTGTTTAGAACTTATGTCTCTGCATGGGTTAAGTAGACAGCTAAGGGCAGTCTTTTAGAAATTTGGTTAAAAGTAAAGTTCTATTTTTAAACTGAAAGGAGGGTGTAGAGCCTGAGTTGAGACACAGCTTACGCAGACCTGCACGCCTTCTGTAGACAGTCTTGTAGCCTTCCTCACTTTGACCTCAGGCACAGACTGTTTGTGAAGGCTTATGATCAGAGAAATAACTGGATTGTGAACTAATCTAATCTTCCAACTTCCTTTTTTTGGGGGGGAGGGAGAGGGTTTTGCTATAGGGCACGTGTGCTCACCAGAAAGACAGAGACAGAGAGACAGAAAGCGAGAAATCACCCCCCCCCCCCCAGGGGGGATGGCCATGCCGCAATCCCTTCTCCTCCATTATCTTTTTGGGATCTTGGTTGGGCACACACGTCCAAGAGTTTAAGCCACTGAGTCTGGGACTCGAACCATGGTCAACTACATGGGAGTCCAGCGACATAGCCATTACACTATCTGTTGATCCCCCAACCTCCTTTTTAAAAGTCACAAAAGTCTGTCACTCTGTCGCACTATTTGTAGTGGAAGTCACATGCTGACCATGGTTCTAGACTCAGGCCCGGTCAGCCTGAGAACTCGTTCCGTGCATGTGTGTGTGCATGTGTGTGTGTGTGTGTGTGTATGTGTGTGTGCCTGGGATCCTGGTGGACTGGAAGACTGGAGAAGGAGATTGCAGCGGGAGTGAGCCCTGTAGAGGGTGCTACCTCTGCCCCCTTTGTGCTCATCATGATTTTTTTTAAAGGGGCAAAGGCCACATACTGTACAATTTCATGTATATGAAATGTCCGTAACTGGTACATCAGTAGAAGTGGGAACTCCATCAGTGGCTGCCTGGAGCTGGAGGAGGGGCGGGGGCATGGGAGTAATTGCTTATGTGCACCAGGTCTCATTTTGGGTGACGAAAATGTCCTGAAATTAGTGGTGATGGTTGCACAGCTTCATGAACAGACTAAAAGCCACAGAATTACACCCTTTAAAGTGGTGACTTTAGTGGTATTTGAATTCTATCACAATGAAAAAGTTCACAAGGACTTCAGAAATTATGGGTAATACCGTATTTCCTCAGTGTCAAAATACCTTTTAGCCTCAAAGCACAGAATACCCAAGCTGGCGAGTAGTTTCACAGACCATCAGTCTGACTGCTGCATTTTGTAGATAGAGAAGCTGACTTCCCGAGAGGTGAAGTGACTTGCTCATGGTCCCACAGCAGTACTGAGTGGAGCTGGAGCCCAGGCCTCCGGTCTCCTCCCCACAGCCCTTCCCCAGCGCCACTGTGCTGCCCACCCCTGTGGCTACTTTTTAAACATTTCAGCAGTAATCAGTTTGACTCGTTCCAAAGGAAGAATAAGTGGTTCAAATGAGATGCATGTATTTTTCCCCAACGAAAACACAAAATATTCTTATAGGTAGCAAAATCTCTGTGAAAGAGAAGATCGATTTGTTGCGGTAAATTTACCGGGTCCAAACTGGAGTTTAACCTGGAAGTGTCCCCAGAGGAAAGTGGCCGCATTAACAGACCGAGGGAGCCCTCTACCTGTGCATCAGTAGTATAGGTTTCATTGACTAAATCCTTGACCTGGAAAGCTAAAAATAAATCGAGGCAGGTATTCGAGTCCTTTGTCCAGCTTCTGTTGACTTCTAGCATTATTTTCCAGAAAGTGAATGACATCTGAAAATGTCTTTGTGTGAACAGTAGGGTTCAGAGATAAAAATTTGCCCGAAGTTCCTTTTCTGTGGATAAAAGGGACCAATTAGCAGCCTAAATAAAAGGTTCAAATATACTTTTTTTCCAGTGAGAATTACAATTAAATAATTATTTTCAAAAAGCTTGATAGTCCTTTGAGGATTTACAATGTTAGTAAGCATTTTTGTTCATTCAGCATGAAAGTTGCATTGTTTCTTTGTTTCAGCGAAAGATAGGGCTGCATGTAAAAATCATGCAGGACCCTGAGAACACCCACCACAGGGCTGCCGTGAATGCCAGCTATGGGATCAGGTTGCCATGTATTAATCAGAGAAAAGCATGTGTAAGTAATGAGTTGCTTTAATGAGCTCTTAATTTTTTTTTAAAGAATTTAAAGTTATTTATTCGCATAAGATGCAATGCAGATTTTAAGCCGAGATTATGATCCTTTTGTCCTTGGACTTTTTTTTTGGAGCTGAAGTGGAGAAGCTTTCATTCTGTTTATCAGTAGAAACGATTAAGAAAATGTAGATCTAATTCAAAAGATCTGTTTGTAGCTCATTCAGATTTCTCTATGTTATTTGATATTTTAAAATAATCTAATATCATCGTGATCTTAACGAGGAGAAAATAAGTTAATGACAAAAAATTAATAGAGAAATTTTAAATATTTCATTTCTTTATAGTCAGCTTACCACTAGCAAAATCAGAAGAAAGCAATAGTGTAGTATCTACCTTCGCGGAGGTGTAGGATATAGAAACGAGTGAAGAACATTATTCTACCTTTGAAGCAAACAGGGACTGATCTCTTATGGAAGCAAAATAACGAGAGGTAAAAATAATCGGATGCAGATTCTCATGAAGGGGTTTCAGGGTCTGTGCCTGTTTTTTCCATTGATTTGCTGCTGGACTGTCCCAACACAGGACTGTACTCTTTCTGTGTGCGGGGTTTTCTTAGGAGAATTAAGAGTTATGCTTCATTTTAACTGGGAAATTATTTCACTTAAAATCATTCCTAATACGGAAAACAATTACTGAGGTGACATCTATTTTTCTTTATGTTCACTGTTAACCTTTGGCTTCTTTCAAAAGCCCTTAAGTGTGCAATTTGCTAAAAACAAATCTAAAAGCAACGTTAATTTTAGGATTAAATTGCACATCTATTTCTAAATAGCTTGTCAGTATCTTAAATCTTCCAAATTTTCTGCATAGACATTTTCAATGGCCTGCTTCATTCATGTAACCCTCAAATATATTTTCTGTCTTTGTGTGTGCTTTGTGTTATTCTAACAGGTTTGGTTTAAGAGCACTTTATCATAGAAATACTTTTATAGCCTAAGAAATTACCCGAAAGTTAGATATTTTTATTCTTGCTGAAACTTTATTTAAAATGTCACTGTGAATAATGTGAAGGGGATTTTATCTGCCTCCCATGAGCCCAGAGCCCTTGAAATAAAAACATTATTTCTCTGGCTGCGCAGACAGAAGCAGATTTCTCTTGTTGTTGGTTTTCCTCTTCAATCTAGAATTAATATTAGCTTAGCTGGCGGAGTGCTGAGGCTTGCAGCCCAAGGCAGCTGCTGCAGTCCGGGCAAACTTTTTCTGATGAGCGTTGAACTTTAAGAAGGCGTACCTCCAGATCTAGAGAGGATTATGCTTTTTTTTAATGAACCCGAGTGAAGATTATGACTTAAATAAGGGGATTTGAAATTATATCCAAAATTTGGGGCAGAATGTTAGTCATTTGTTAAAATGTTTTCTCGTTTCCAAGTAGAATAAATGCCTTGGCTATTATACCCATGTACCTTGAGCAAAGAATTTGGGAAAGCACTCGTCCTTGTATGGCATCTACATAATATATATTCATTTACTGTATTATAGTCAGTCTCTTATTCCCCTGTAAGATGTGGCTCCATAAACATTTATCCCAGAGCACTTTTAAATTGGATGTATATTATGTGTATTTTGCTCAAACCGACTGTTGGCCTTTTGAGGAAGCTAGTTGGGCCTATCATATAGATAAATGATGGCACTAAATGAAAAACAGTCTTTTCATTGTGGATTTATAAAAGAAGAGTATTGTGCCCAAAGTCCCCTGAGAGAAGTATTCAGGTGTTCGGTCTTCAGCACTCATCTAGAGCATTCGGGGATAAATACAGTTGTGATTTACCACTTCTAAAATCTTTTAGGACTTACCCATGCTGAAGCGAATGTGTCTGGTATTGTGATGTATGCTTAATTAGAAGGGCAGCACCAAGGCTAATCTCCTTTCAGAGCTGTTCTAAATACTGACTGGGACTTACTATCTGGCTGCTGAGGGCCATGTGTTTCTGTACTTAAGAAACTTGAACAGCTTGTCAAAAGCCTGTAAATAATCCTAGGCCTTTCAGACAGAGCAAATTTGGATATGTAGCCAGTTGACATGATTAGTTCCTAGGCGCTGGTATTTTTTCCATCTTATGGAGAGGTGTATCCCTCCCAGTAATAAAGGACAAGTGAGTGCAAGGATTTTGGTGCATTGAAAACACAGGCCCTGCCCTCCCCCCGCCCCCCCAAGTCACAAAACTACCTTTGGAATTTTATATCCTGTGATTCTGTTATGTAAAATCAATTTGCAAAATGGTATTAAAAGTGAAACTCTCTGACTTTATTTTTTTAATATCTTGAATCTGCTAAATGAAAAATAAACAACCTTCGAATGTTTTTGAGTAGGTCCTTATGAGTATGAGAAATGAGAAGATACCCCTGGTACTGTTGTCATTTATTCACTGACATCTAGTTCCAGTTAGCTTTTATAATGCAACGCATTAAAAGAACTACAGAAAATTTGACTTTGATTTATTTTTTTAAAATAAAACATGTTTCTTAAAAGGCTTGAAACATGTATCTGTTAACATGAATTTTAAAAGAACGATTATGAATGTTTAACAAAATAGCCAAACAAAACATTGCTTTGAATTGCTGCACAAATAACTCTGATTATAACTGTTATGACCTAGAAAAGAATTATAAAAACATTTTTCTTTTTGGCAAGCTGTGAGTTGCTGTAGAATTATACCAGTTCTTTGGTCCCACTTTCCAAATAAATAAATATATAATGCAATGTGAACTTAGAATCTTTTACTTATTCATGAGGCTGAATTTAATACTATTATGATTTCTCCATTTTATGAGTCATATGTTATGCAGTGTTTTTCACTAACTTAGTTGGGTAGCAACCCCACTTCACAAATCATGGTTTCATTCTTTACTGTTTCACGTGGGGTGTGCATAGTAATCCCTCTCACTGAAAGCACATTCGTTTCTGAAATGATGAAGTAGTAGAAAGTGAGGCAGTTGTGTTAATGTCAAATGATTAGAAGAAGCACCAGAAGTAAAGGCGGGGGCGGGTGGAGAAAGAAGGACGGTTTCAGAACATGATTGTGTCTCAAGCCCGTACATATGGCCACAATTATAGTCACAACATAATTTGGCAACGGTCGCAGAATTAGATTTAAACAAATTGATGTTACACTGCAGTAATTCAGAATGAGCTTGTTGCATTTATAAACCATAACAAGAAGCAGAGTGAATTAATAAACCCTTCTTGTCACTAAAAATAAAAAAGGGAATAATTGCTGAGATGGAGTTAACTTAACAGATGACTATAGTCAGCATCCTTTCAGCCTAGATATGGGAAAGTGAAGGTCACCCCCATCTCGGATGACAAAGAGGGAACATTTTGTTGGTAAACAAATTAATCTTTTGAAAGGTCGCCATTTGTTTGAAGTTTTTATCCAGTTCTTGTCATCTGGAATCAGAGATTGACTGTCATCTCACTAGGCAGGGGTGCAGTTGAAGCAGACGAAGCTGCTTCTGTCCATATCAGCATTCCTTGACAAAACTCCGTGCCTGATTGTGATGCCATGGGCTGCTGGTTTACAGCTGTCTCCGGACAGGAACGGAGGCCCACCCCTGAATTCCAATAAGATGGGCCTGCATATTCCGCCTGCTGTAAGCTGGCCCTCTGCCCACAAGTAAAATGTATTGTAGTTCAAGCCAGCAATTATCTCCCTTACTTCCTTCTGTGCTGCTTCTGTTCCCTTTTTCCAAAAACAGATGTGGGTATTCACTCAAGTTCTGCATCTATTCTTTCTCACACCTGCCGGGGCAGGGTTTTGACAGAGGTAGAGTTTGAAGGAGCCAGCAGACAACAATCAGATGTAATTTCTTTGAGAGCGGTTTAAAACGAAAATGTTGATTTTTCAGGAAATGTGGAGTCAGCATCTTGGTCCCCCTCCCTTTTCCCAGGAGCATTTGGTAAATTAAATTAGTTGAACAAAAGGAAATAGCTTTAAAGACATTCTGAAATGCCATATCCTATTTATGACACACAGTCATTACCCAAGGACTGCCATGGCATGCACAGCATCCCCACTTCTGTCATTTAAACAGAGCTTTCTCTCCAGGTTGCTTAGGTAGAGTTTTACAGGCTGCAAGTCAGCCAGTAAACTATGTTCTACCAATATAGTGGTGGTAGCGGTGGCAGTGGAGACAGTGGTTATTGCATTTGTAGGTTTTTGTTCTGCAGGATTTCAAGTCTGCGTTAGTTTGGAGAAATGAGAGGGCTGAAGAGAGTGACGTGGCATTGGCTGGTGTGTGGCTCTCTCACAAAAGCCCATTGCACTGTGAGTGGGGAAGAGCAGTTAGAAACTATCCCTCATCTCACACATTCGCTTAAAGATCTAGCCGTAGTGAGTTCTCGAACTTCTTTAGAATGCTGTTCCATGAGCCCTGTGCTCAGGTCCTGCGTGCATTCTCAAACGAATCTTCTGTTGAACTCCAGCACTTTCTGGCTCTTCGCCAGTGATTCTGGGTCAAACTGCCTGGTGTGAAGCCTTACTAGACGGGGAACTTCCCAGAAATAGCCTCCATGTCCTCCTGGGTAAGAAAATGTACAGGTATCTGTCTTGTAAATGGTATTGAGTTTAGATCATCATTGAACGCGCTTAGCAAAAGTCCTGGTACAAAGAAGAGCTCCGAAAATATTAATCACTACTATTGGCAATTCTCACATGTTATATTGTGCCATTGTCTTATACTGCTCTTTAAAACTTATATTATTGTAATGGCCAGGGCAGGAAACTAGAATATTGCAGCATCCCTTCTGGGGACACTTCAAGGCCTTTTTTCCCATGCAGACACGAAGACGGGGACCGCACGGTCTGTTGTGTTTGTCTGTCTCTGGAATCTGATGCGCCAGGCAGTATTCTACACGTAATCATCACTCCAGAGTAGACGGTGCCCTCACCCGTCCCGCCTCTGTCCTGAAGCTGTAGAGCCCAAGTCTCGAAGCAAAGCGAT